CAAGAATTTTTCGATAGCCCGTGGGTCTGTTTCCTCCAGATGTCGTCTTTCTCTTGAGTTTTGTTGGTTGAATGCATTATCCATTATTACCCTGTAGAATAATCAGGATGGATAGCCTTTGAACATAGTTGCCATCAATCTACAGTATTACGACAGTCCTCAAAATTTGTATCTTACTCGTAGAGTGTGGTTAAGTACCTCTCATACGCTCTCTCATACGTCCACTTACGAACACGTGTGCAGCACGGTTTGTTGTATTAGCTGTATGCTTACACATTTTATACAAGCGCGGATTCACCTCAATTTACGGATGTGTATATCTCAGCACTGTTTCTCTGGGCTGCCTCGAAACTCTTCAAACTTCAATTGCAATGAAATACCAATTGAACGGAGTTTGCATTAAACAGGATACCATATAGACAATGGAACTCGAGGGTTCTGGCAGGTATTGCAACAATAGTGATTCGAGGGTGAGAAGTTACTTTATCATCTGAGCGCTCTTCTTGATAATTACATACATTAACCGTCGATAACAGGCATTCGGATTTTGTGCGACGCATGCTAGGTAATTTTAACTTTTCAAATGGTTATGTCTTATTTTAACTGCAAACACGTTATCCTCAATAAAAGGGTCTGATAAATGCTGTTGTGCTCGTTGAATACAATTAGTTTAGAACAGAGAATAAGAAAAAACTGAAGAGTTTGTTCGAATGTTTATCCAAGTGTCAAAATTCCGGAAGAAATGATGCGTCCGTTCGTCAAACTTTCACGAGCACTGACAGATGCATATGCCCGTACCGTTGCTCACATAAACATAAACTAGTCTATACCTCCCACTCCGCCAATCTTCAACCGAACGATTGATCACATTTTGGCTCACGTTTCTAATATCATTCCGTTCAGCTGCGAAATCGCTCCCTCTCCCTCTCTCTCTTTGCGTGTGCCTCAGCTAGATGGACTTGCAACAGTGAATTCTGAAAACATTTCTCGTAATAAAAAACAAGCATCAGTGTCGATATAATCCAACACATTCCAGTTAAATATGCAACAGAAGCCGGAAGTCCACTCCGTTTCCGAGATTTTTAAGTGATTCGCCTGGCAAACATCTTTTGGGCAACCCGTAGTTGGTATCACTCATTCAATGTATCATTTCATTTTATGGTCGCAGTTAGTTCCAGTGGACTAGTATGACTATGGTATAACGTATAACACAAGGCTAAATCCGAGTCACTCCGGAGAATTCTTCCTATTAAAAAATCACTTAGAAGGTCATCAAAGACCAATGGACATAACACATTCAAAATATGCGTTCTCTGAAGGTGTCGAACGCATCTAGTTCAGACAATTTATGTCCTACACTTATCAACCACGGTGCTTTGCCAGTGTCGCACACTTTTGCACACAGCTAATATTTCACTCGAACTCCGAACCGTTCCGGAGTGCTGGCACTCTATGAGAATTGCACCCATCCCCAAAGGAACGACACAGGCCCCAACTGAGAAGCGTTTCGGGCCACTTACTCTCAAATCTACTTGTTGGAAATTGATGAGGCGGTCAGTACTGTATCACCTTCAATTATCTCTCACCATCTCGATAACATTTATCAGTTCGCGTATAAACCAAACCGCTCTACGTTGGGTACCGTTTCTTTCATATACCTTTTACAATTCAAGTTGTCCGAATATCATTTCAAAATGTTCGGGTATCTTTCCAATTTTTCTGTGCATCATTTGAAGCGTTCAGCACATCATTTCAAGCTGTCGTAGCATAATTTCAAGCTGTATCGTTGACCGCAATGGCGCTAACAAGCCTCTCGGAACTGAATGGTATATCTCTATGAAACCAACTGCAACTGAAATAGCCTACCGAGGACTGTTGAAATATACCATAAACATTATGATATTTACCGAGTATTATAGGAAAATATGAGCTCAAAAAATGGAATGTTTTCAAAAATGCGTTTTACTGATAATGGACTCCGAAGTTGATACTTTTGACCGCTGAAATCATATATTCTCACTTAAACACTTTCCTCACCAAAGTGAACTGGGTGAATTAAAGCTATGATTGTCTTTAGATAAGCTTGCAGGCCGCACGAGAAAGGATTAGGCAAGCTCTAACTTATGGCCGCTGCCCGTTAT